CTTTCAGTCTAAATCATATCTTTCTATAGTGCAATATTTAGTCTACAAGTTTCACAGGTCTTGATAGGGAGTTTAATAAAGGGATATACGAATCTAAGCCAAATAATGTTGTCCTTTCAGGATGATGATGATGCCATTAACAAAATGTGGGTTTTATTTGTTGATCCAGTAAAATGACCTTCTGAGCTTATCTCTTTTTTTTATATACGTAATTGAAGTCAGATGAACATGTTTATGGCCCCTAGCAATGCTGATTACCCCTCTTGATGTTGATTCAAAGTGTACTGTTTATGTAATTTTCTAAAATACTTTCATTTCAAAAGTAAAAACTTTTGATTTCATTTCAGGAAGTGACAACTTTTTTGAGGGATGATAACAACCACGATAGAAATCTTTAACAAAGGACAAGAGAGGAAGCAAAGAAGACAATCCTTCCTGGGAACATTTTTCAAAAATGTAAAAAGTGCTTCATTTTTTTTTGTTTTGGAAAAATGATCAGAGAAAATGTTTTAAAAAAGTTTCAAATACTTAGGAGGGTTGGTACCCTGAAGGAAATTTTATAATTGTTAATGAATAATAATAATAATAATAATATATAATAATAATGAAAGAAGAAAACGTTTTTTTTGGTTGTAATGTGGAAATGAAAAAAATATTATATCTTTGAGGATTATTTCACGAAGTGTTTTGTGGTCTGGTCTCGCAACCGTCTTCAGGTGAAAAATGATATTTGAAAAATGATGAAAGATGATGTTTTGTGTGAATTGAATCGATGAAAAATTCTCAATGAAATGTTCTGCGTGAAGGGTCATAAAACAATTAATTTGCCACAGGTGATCGGCACAAACTTTTATTTTGTGAAACAGCAGTGCTCTTGTTTTTATTTTGTAAATGAGGATGATATATGATTTTAGTTTAAGTTTTTTTTTTTTTTTTAAAAATGATCAGTACATGGAAAATGTCATAAAGAAAATTATACACACGTTTCTGAGCAAAAGAAAACATAAATGTATGTCTCTGGTTGGTACCCCATGTAATGAACGATCGTGTTGGTCACCCTGTGTGCATGTTTTTTTTTTTGGGGGATATAGATCAGCCAAATCAACGAATTGATAGATCCAATATCGGCATACATTTAAAATAAACTAGTTAAATTTAATATCATGTTGATATATCAAAAAGTTTATTACTATTGAAATAATAATAACTTTATCAGGACAAATGAACAACAGAATAATAAAAATAAGACAACAGAAAACTAAATACAACGCATAATAATAATATCATGCCGATATATACAGACAATTCTCGATAATGATAATAATAAAACCCCCCAAAAAACATGGTCTACAATACATTCTATATTATAAAGGAAGTTATGTAGGCATACTACCCTGCTTTTGTTGTGTTGACTGAAAAACTCTTCCATATTTCAAAAAAAATTCACCTTCGTTATACACGACCTCCAAAGAGCACATAGAGGTTTACCAAACATTAAAAGGTCATGGATGAAAGATTTGGTAAATGATGATGTCAAACAGTGAATTAAAAAATTCCACTTTCCCTGATCAGACCAGACTAAACACGTCGTGAAATTATAAATACATAAATCCACATTATAAACAAAAATTCTCTCAATTTACATATTTCTCTCGTTGAACCACTCAATAAGTTTCTAACTGAAAAAAGAAAATCACTTTCTTTTGCCCAACAGGTCACAAATAACATAAAAAACTATAAAAAAACAAACTTTCAAAAACGGTTCGGAATGATTTTGTGCCGAAACAACAAATCAATCAAAAAAACTGGCATATTCATATGCCATGAAACAGCAAAAAATATACAAAGATAGATGGATGATGATGAAAAGATTAACCCACAAAGACACGGAAAAACAAAACAAATAAAAAACACTAAGAAGCAAAAAAAATGCAGGCCCCAAATTGTTAACCACAAAGAAGACAAAACAGTAAACTTTACAAAGATGATTGATCTTGAAACAAAATCAAGCAAAAGAAAACGTTTGAATTATAATTATTTTACCTGGTTAAAGGGCTTGGAAATGAGACAAAACAAAAAATTAGTCCAAACTAAAAACCCCAGAAACAGGAAAAACCACCCAACAGATGACAGTCTTTCTACCATGTCACATTAACTCATCAACACATTCTACTACCCCGCAAACACATACAAAAAGCAGACATTTCACCCACACTAAAAATACAATATGAACATACTGAACAGAAAAAGGCTAAATGAACTGAAACATTATAAGATGTTTTTAAACAAACCAAACCAGGAAAATTCAGAGAATAGTTTTACTCAAAATACAAAAACAACAAACCTAGAAATCTGAACAGGCCCCCTAACAAAAGCCACTATATAGAGGAGAAACAACAACTGAGGGGAAACTGCTGGTGGATGAAGGAGAAAATCAAGATATTGCTCATTATTTTTTTAGAAGTCAACTCAGTCTCCTATCTCTAAAGACAAATCAGATAAAATTTTCCTGCTCCTAAAAGCAATATAGAAAGATTCAATGAGGGAATATTTAACAATAGCGAAAGTATCATATATATAAAAAAACAAATATATAAAAAAATATATGAGATAAAATATATTTTTTGAAAACTAATTATTCCAATCATATATATAAAATATATATATAAAAGAAGCAGATATATATATATATATATATATATATATATATATATATATAAAAAATTATCTGCAACATTATTAACAAAAAAAGAGAAGGATGTGTAATTTCTACGGACTACCTAAGTTCATAAATGAGCAAATACGTTAGCATCCCAAACCCCAGTGACCTTTACATTCAGACTACTTTCCCATACAAGTTTTTTATTATGGATGTTTTTTCTAATATGACAACAATACATACATAAAAAAAATCATACATTGGGGAAAATTCTTTTTTCTTGATTTCAACAAAACTATATCCAAACCCTAACTGCAAGGCAGTAAATCCACTAAGACACAAGGGGTTCAGTTAAAAGTAAAAGTAAAATAATCTTTGATAATAACTTAAAGTATACCAGAATGCAATTGGACACGCAGAATATTTGGACAATTCCTACATAATTTATGTCCAGAAAAAAAAAAAGAAACGTAGGAACCTAAAAAATTAAATAAAAACCTAGCTAAATCTAGTTTACCTTGTCAAACATTTTCAGCAAAAAACTTGTATATATATATATATATATATATATATATATATATATATATATATGTATATATATATATAAACAACTGGGAAAACTATATAAATTTTATATATCAAGAACAATTTTAGGGAAAAAACAGATTTAAAAAAAAAAAAAATAGACAAATTTAAATTTGAAAATAAATTTAAATTTATCACCATCCTTCTTTAATGATCATGTGTAATCACATCATCAAGGTAAGGATTAGTTTATCCCAAAGAAGGCCAGATTGTTGACAAAATGTGTCACAAAAACATATATATATATATATATATATATATATATATATATATATATACATTTATTTATAAAATATTCAGATTGCAACACAAACAGAATTTCATATTATTCCACTGGTTCTTTTAATAATATCACACATAAAAATACAAAATACATACACACATACACACACACACACACACAAACATAATATACATATATATATATATATATATATATATATATATATATATATATATATATATATATTTTTTATATGGATTATTCTTTGCAGATATACTTATGCCAATAAATATCAAAATGATGTTATATATACATATGTGAATATATATGCATATATAAACCTATATATACAGTCATGTATTATATATATATATATATATATATATATACATTTGCATATAGTATATTCATATATATATATTAACAATATATAATATACATCAATATTGTAACATCATCTGTTAACTATTATATATATATATATATATATATATATATTTATGACAATTTAGGTATTTATCTATGAATTTATATTTGTACATGTATTACAAAATATGTATATATATATATATATATATATATATATATATATATATAAGTATATGATTGGTGTATAGGAATAAATTCTGATAACCAACAATTACTATTCTTAAAAGAGTGCTCAATACAGACTAGAACAAATATAATTATTTATTTAAAATATATATATATATATATATATATATATATATGCATGTATGCATAGATTCACACATATGTATATAAATATGTGTTTATATACATTTTATACATTTAAAATGTATACCTGTATATTATAATTTAAATGTATACCTATATATGTATGTGTGTATGAGTGTTCTTGAAAAAATGATGTATACATATATAGGCATGTTGGAGTAAAGGATAATGGCTCAGATTGAGGAATTGAAGAATGGCGTTCAAATTCCAGTCACATTCATTGCATTCACTTACATGCAAATAACTTTGGGAAATGTATGAACACATCTCATCCCCCCCAGCTAAGGGTAAAATAGCTGGAGAAACTGGACCCTATGGCCTTGGTTGGCAATCAGTCTAGGAAAAGGAAAACTCTGAATTCAAACTACCTGCTGCCTTTTTAACTTCTGAGAGGATGGATGGCGTATTTTGCTTTGAATATCTGGATGAGCCACAACTGTGAGATGGAGGGGAGTGAGGACCAGAGTGGCACAAAATGCAGTAAATGAATAAATGATGAATATATGCATATGTAGTATATATGTCTATAAAAGAATATATGCATAGTATATATATATATATATATATATATATATATATATATATATATATATATATATATATATATATATATATAGATATATTATATTATACATGACATGGATATTATATATTTTAATGTATATTGATATATGCATAATTGTATACATATATATCATAGAAATATATATATATACATCTAATTATCAATCTTGTAGATACATTTATTAATCAATATATATATACATATATATATATGTATATGTGGGTGTGTGT